ACACAGCACACAACCACACACACAACACACACAAACACAACACACACCAACACACAGAAACACACGCACAAACACAACACACACACATACACACAACCAACACACACACAGCACACAACCACACACACAACACACACGCACAATTTACACGTAATGCACAATGGCGCAGATACGCACATACACTAATTTACAGACACACACACACACATGTTGCTTTATAAGGGCTGCCGCCCAGTGCCGCCGACCCCTTCACCCTCTGCATCTCCAATCGGCTCTAACGGGACTTTTGAATCGTATATGAAAAAGATAAGGATCCTCATCATAGCCGTGGCCCATCATCGTCATCATCACGGTTATCATCATCGATGATAACCATCATTATGCATCCTCTGCATCACCAACAATCATCATGATAATGATGACTGCGCATCCTCTGCATCTCCAATCGGCTCTAACGGCACTTTTGAATCGTGTATGAAAAAGATAAGGATCCGTCGCCCATCATCGTCAGCATCACCGTTATCATCATCGATGATAACCATCATCGTGCATGCTCTGCATCACCAACAGTCATGATGATAATGATGACTACGCACCCTCTGCATCTCCAATCTCATCATCACCGTTATCATCATCGATGATAACCATCATCGTGCATCCTCATTGATGATAACCATCATCGTGCATCCTCTGCATCACCAACAGTCATGATGATAACGATGACTACGCATCCTCTGCATCTCCAATCGGCTCTAACGGCACTTTTGAATCGTATATGAAAAAGATATCATCATCGATGATAGCCATCATCGTCATAGACGATTCAAAAGTGCCGTTAGAGCCGATTGGAGATGCAGAGGATGCGTAGTCATCGTTATTTATCATCATGACTGTTGGTGATGCAGAGGATGCACGATGATGGTTATGATCAATGAGGATGCACGATGATGGTTATCATCGATGATGATAACGGTGATGAGATTGGAGATGCAGAGGGTGCGTAGTCATCATTATCATCATGACTGTTGGTGATGCAGAGGATGCACGATGATGGTTATCGGTGATGATGACGGCGATGGCTGTGATGATAATCCTTGTCTTTTTCATACACGATTCAAAAGTGCCGTCAGAGCCGATTGGAGATGCAGAGGATGCGTAGTTGACTGTTGGTGATGCAGAGGATGCACGATCATGGTTATCATCGATGATGATAACGGTGATGATGAGATTGGAGATGCAGAGGGCGCGTAGTCATCATTATCATAATGACTATTGGTGATGCAGAGGATGCAACAAGATAAGGATCGTCATCATCGATGATAACCATCATTATTGATGGTGGTGCTGATGATGATGATGATAATGATATGAAAAAGAGAAGGATCGTCATCATGGCCGTCACCCATCATCGTCATCATCACCCTTTATCATGATAATCATGTCCACGCATCTTTTGCATCACCAATGGGCTCTAGCGCCACACTTGAAATGTATACTAGACAAAGACATGGTGACGACTACGTATCAGCATCACCAGCAGTCCTCATGATAATCATGTCCACGCATGATGATGGTGATGATGATAATGATAATGATATGAAAAAGATTGCAGATGATGATGATGATGATGATAACTATCATCGTAGCATCCTCTGCATCTCCAATGGTGATGATAACTATCATCGTGGCAACGCATCCGCAGCACCCTTCCCGTGCGCCTCCCCCTTTCAGGAGCAGGGGTCGGCGGATTCATGCACTAAAGCCACGACCCCCAACAGTTCTCGGAACTCACAGGCGCAGGCGCGACGCACGGAGTGCTGCCAAACATGACGAACTATCCGCCGTGGCTTTCTGGGACTCCGCCCACCGACATCACGGAGCCCTGGGTTGGTGGAGCGTGCGCCTCAGACTCCAGGAGAATTCAAAATCAGGCAACTCTGCGAATGCCGTCGAACTCATAGTAGATCAGGCCCTTAGCAGATCACGACAAACAGCCTTCAAGCAGGAAAAGATGGTGAAAGTCTTTTCATTGCGATGTGCGGACCGAGTTCCACAATGCCTCGGACATGGCGCTTATGGCTATGCCGGCGCCGCTCATTCCTTCAGATATGCCGTGGCCGCGCCCAAAGCGCGCAACGGCCTCCTTTCTTTAACGTGAGATTGTTGGCAGCATTGCCACCTGGCGGTTGGGGGCTGCCTTTCGCGCAGGAATGCACCTTGCAAAGGTCAAGGCGTCAAGTGGCGCGAAAGGAGAAGACAAAGGGTCAGTGCAGCTCAGAGGTGCAGGGTCATGTCGAGTCTCACGATGTCCTTGGGCCATTGGGCTGGGTTCTGCCGAAGGCTCAGGGACCGCTGCAGGTGCCAAGCTTGGCGACTGAAGTTTCAAAGCGCCTTGCAAATCCAAGCATCGACCCCTCGTAAACCTCTGGTAAGGTCTGTCAAAGATGTTTTTCTTTCTTTCACGGAGCCGCCTGTTCAAACTTATGGTTTGGTTTTGGTGGGCCACGCCCCTGCACAACAGCCACACGCCGTCGAGAGCTTTGCAACCATGAACTCATTGATGCAGCCAGAGCTGGGAGCATCGCAGCTGCCAGGGCCTCCAGACTTGCAGTTTGAACCCGATTTTTTTTCTCGTTTTTGTGCTGTTTGTCGTTTTTTGTGTTGCCGCCCCTCCAATTCATTACGCGATTTCGGGATGTTTTGGGTAAACCACTTTAGGAAGCCCTGATTTTGGCTCGCCCGAGTTTTCACAGACTCCCTTTCGTCTTCGCCCGGTCTGCGTCTTTGAGTTGCCTCGGCCGAGGAGCGACGCGTCCTCCGCCGTGGCCTCCGTGCTGATGCAGAGCGCGCGGCTCTCGCCGCGGCTGGTGGCTCCCGGGGTGCGGCAGGAGCGACTCGCAGTGAACCCAAGGCTCGGGGCGTGGCTCAAAACCAAACGATCGGATTGCGCAGGTTTTGGTCCATGGTTCCACTTAGGGCAACCCAGTTTGGATTTCCGGTTTTTTGAGCCACAGCCATGTTTGTCCAACTCCCAAGGTTTCCCTTGGCAGCATGGGACACAGGAAAAGGGTGATCAGTTCGAGGAAGGGGAGGTGGCTTGCCCAGCCCGCGCGCCCCTGGCATAAGTGCTCGACTTGCTACTTTGCGAAGCACATACATGGCACGTGCGGCAGGGCTCTAGTGATGTGCGGTTCATGCCTTCATCCCCCAGGACCTCACTGGCTGCTTCCTGCGGCAGCGTGATCTCTTCGTGGAGTGGCCCGGCTAAGAGCGGAGCGCAGCGCCCCCCCACCACAAAACGCCTGGCTGCCAGGAAACGAAGAAGTGCCATGCCTTCGAGACTAGAGCCTTGGTTTTGGGGGCTCACCCGGGAGCCAAAAGGCTTTGCACGGCACGTTGTGACGCAGTGGGATTGCGAGTTTGGCCCAGTTCTCGCCGTGAGGAATGGCTCTTGTCCATCATCGAAGAAGGCGATGCGGATCAACTTCGTTGTTTCGTGGAGGCGCGCATGGCCCTTGTGTGAAATGGGGAGATGCAAGGTCCATGGTTGCGTTTGGGCGTGTTTGGGGCTTGGCAGGGGGGTTTGATTCCCTCCCTGTGCACATGCAGCAATGTCCGCATTGCCCGGACGCATGCCTTGCCACATGCTTGCTTTTCCGTTTTGCTCAGGTTTGCTCTTTCGATGTTGCTGGTTCACAAGCGTTGGGGGGGAGTGTACTTACGAAGAGGACTTGTTTAAGCAGGGAGTTCAGGCAGTGGGACTCTTTCCTGGCCGGTAACTCAGCTGTGGCCGAGGCCTACAGGAGAATGAAGGACCCCCTGAATGAGGGGGACCCCTGCGAGTACTGCAACGCCAGACTGACCTCCAACAAGTGGTTCAAAGCTGCTCGCAAAGGTCAGGTCCATGTCAGGGTTGCCTTTGGGTCTCGATTTGGATGAGGCTAGCGAGGCCATCGGCGTGCAAGGTGTCCGCTGCATGATTTGTGCCAAGTGGCACTGCGAGAAGCGGCTTGGATATGATTCGCAGTTTCAAGGGCAGAGTGGCTGTTGCTTGCCTCCATCCCGCCCTTCCGTCCTTCATGACAATGGCGTGATGCTAGGCATCGGCAATTATATGTGACCTTGAGCTTTGGAGTGAACCAGTCCGTAAAGTTGGACTGTTGCGAGCGATGCCATGCAGCTGTTGCCCCTAGCCCGCATCAACAGATCAGTTGCTCGCTGTAGGGCGGGCAGGGCAGGTGGCATAGACGGCTGGTCTGATCACATTTGACACTCAGGATGTGCTGCGGTGGCATAAGGAATGGGATGCACGCATTTTGCTTCTTGTGCCAAGTGTCTTTGCTGCGTGGGTGGCTTTGCGTGTGGCTGCTCGAAGGACAGGCTGCCAGATTGCCTTCCAGCGACATCACGTCAGCTCATGGTTCTCTACACTGAGCTTCCTGCATGCATGTCAGCTTCGTGGGGCGACCAGTTCCAAACATCCAATGGCCGACCCACTCTCCCCCTGGTGCCCCTTCTCCTCTTCCCCTCGGCCTTTCGCGAGCGCATGCAGCCGAGCTTGATTGATGGCGCGATCCCCCCCGCTCTAAGTACCACCAAAAAGGGGAAGTTAGTGTATACCCCCGGTATCTTTGAAAGAACTAGAGCGATTAGAGCGCTACATTCCTTTGGAAAATCGGAAATTGGTCCCCCCCAGCCCCCGCATAGGCCATCCCCCCCCATGTTGGTTCCATCTCCTCCAACCCACGCGGAGGCTCTCCGAGGAGCTCACGAAGCTGGCGGGGGCCATCGCGCAGCTGGACGGGGCCACAAGGCTCGTGGAGCAGCTGACGCCCGGAAATGGTTGGCTCGTTTTGCTTCAGTCACCTGAGTTCCTTTCGGTTCTTTTTGGGTTCTTGTAGGTTCTTTTAGGTTTTTGTAGGTTCGTTTTGGTCCTTTTAGGTTCTTTTCTGGGTTCTTTTGGGATATGCTTTTTGGCATTTGCTTCATCTTGGTTCATGTTTCAGTCGTGTCAATTGCTGGAATCCTCGCCGAGGGTCTCCCAGCTTGAAGAAGTCTCGACTCCTGATTCCTTCAAGGCCAGGCGACTATTGTTTCCTTGCTGGTGCTCACTGGGGAGTGAGGGAAGGGAATGAAACCAGGGGTCCCCTTAAAGGAAACCATAACGGAATGGTTTCTAGGGGTCATTCCCTCAGCAAGTTTTTGCCTTCGAGAAGCGCTGGGCATTAGGAGTGCATGGCCGCCATGCAGCAGAGCCGCACCTTGGATAGCTGTGTCTTTCTTTGAGGCGGCTTTTGTGCTTTTTTGGGTTGGTAAAATCATTAAAGGGAAGCTGAAAGGAACCAAGCATGTTAAGACAAAAAGCAAAGGTCCGGGTGCTGTGAGGCCATGCGTTGCCTGACCCCAAGGCCAATCAGCGACTGCAGCCGAGGGAGCTACTTCGCAGTGTTTGAAGCAGCTGGCCGCTTTGCGGTGCACGAGCGCGGCTTGGCTGCTGGTTGCTTGACCAGGGCGAAGCTGGAACATAAGTCTGAGGCAAATGGAGAATCCAGGGGCACAAGAAACGCACTGCTTCGGGATGCATTGGCGAGGCCCACTGCATGCATTTGAGCTTTGGATGTGATTACTTCACAAGCTGGCTGCCCATGTGTGCCAGACACGGCTGGCGCCAGCTGGAACAACTCAAGCCGCGCTTGAAAGCTGCCAGCACGCGTGCAAATGAACTGATCCTTGGCCTGTCAAGGGGGGAGGGTTGAGCGTGCCTTGTATGCCTTTTGGTGTGTAGTTAGGTCCTCTCGCCTTGCCTTCAGGCAGAAGAGGAAATCTCGCGGTTTCCTGTCCCGCTGGATTGGAGGTGAATAGGCGCAGTGGCAATTCAATGCGGTTTGGAGTGCGGTCATGCCTTATTGGTCATGCCGTCAGCCAAGAATGCATGAGGATCTCATATTCTGTACAGTGTGTGGGTTGCAGGGACCAGGGCTGCCTTGGAATTAGTGCACCTGCGATGGCCTTCCTGTTGCAAGTTTGCATTGGATGTGGCCGGGCTTCGCACTTTCTGTGTTTGAGGTCACCTTGATGATCCTCTGCTCTCACATGAGACTTCACATGCAATCGGGCTTTTTCCGTGACACAGGCCGAGAGAGCTGTGACTGAGCCCAAAGTACGGCATCCGCAAGCAAAACCGCCAGGCTGCCATGAAGTGCAGGTTTCTTTCATGGAATTGCTGCTGGCAGCGCGGGCAAGGTATGGTTTCTCCTTTTCACGGGTTATTCCCCCAACTCGGTTCTTTTCGTTGGGCATCCGTGGCCTCACCAAGTTGTTCTGGTTTTAACGTGAGCCATGGAGGATGCTCAGCATCATTGATTCCTCACAAGTGGTTTTGTCAACGAGGTCTGCATGAACAATACGCTGTGAGCGTTTGGGCTCTTCAGGAAGCCCAGGGTTAGCCGAGGCCGACTTCCGCTCGACCCGCTCGTGAGTTGTTTCCTTGCGCGACACGTTGCCGATGTGTGCCGGTCACATCAGCTTTCCCCTGTTCCAGCAGGGAGTTATGGTCAGGTGGGGCTATGGCCACCACCCGCAACTATCAGGCAAGTTGCGTTGCGCCTCGCGTGAGAATGGGACCTGGCCGAGATGCTGCAAGCAACCACAAGTTCTTTTGGTTGTGGTTGTAATTGCCAGGTGAAAATCAAAGTTCCAGCGGGTGCAGCGGGCTGAGGATTGCAGCGGATTCCGTTTGTGCCAGACATGGATTACCCAGCACTTCGGGTGAGGCCACGCCAGGCACCGTGCTGAACGTGCCCTGGGCTGAGCTTTGGTTTGCGGATGGGGTCAAGCCGGGTGTTCGGTCTGAGAGGCGCGCGTGACGGCGTGGCGCGATGGGCCACCCAGGCCAGTCAGGGAAGGCACCGACAAGCTGCGGGTCAAAGTGCCCGAGGACTGCGGTGCCGGAAGCACGTTAGCCACAGGCTGAGTCGGCTTCTTCTTGTGAGCAAAGCTTGGCGTTAGCAGCTCAGGTGCTGCTGCAACCAGAGGGAACAGATGAGTGGGAACTGAGGGTGGAAGAGGCCTGGCCGCTCGAGTGGGCAAAATCAAGCTTCCGCTTTTTCTTTTGGTGGGCAGGTGGTTGCGCCAAAGGACAGGTCAGCTGAAATTGGGGTTCTCAAAATAGTGGACTCCCTTTCGATACCAACCAAAAGGGGGTCCACCATTTAGAGAAACCCCCGCATGAGCCCCCAAGCGCAACAGTGAGCTTGCGGTTTTGTAGGAGCACAGCCTGAGGGAAGAGAGGAGCCGATTGCCTGCGCTTTACTTGGCTCAAGCGCACGACCACGCAGGACTGATCGCTCACAAAATCCCCCGGAGGCGGGGTGCAGTCTAAACCTGGGTGGGTCTTGCGTTTGCGGTCTAAAGCGCTCGGAGAGCAGCGTCCTTCTGAGCCCCCAGGTTCATTGTGGATTCGTTTTCGCTGAAAACGTTGCGTGGTTTCATGACATTGTTGGCTTTGCGCATCCCGGCCACAAAAATGCCCTGTGGTCTTTTGTGTTGCTTCACCTTCGGTGTCAGCATGATTGCAGTAGTTCGGATGATGAGGATCGTGTTGCTTGGACTTGGTCAGGTAGTGTGTGTGTGTCAATGTGCCTAAAAGGACCAGAGGGTGCTTTGCGCTATGGCGAATTGCTGGTTCTCCATCGGAGTTCAGGGTTGAAACCGGGGGTTGGCTCACGGTGCCCAAGGCAGTTTGCGCAATGCCAAACCTAAGAGGACCTAAGAACCCAAAAAGCAGCACATTTCATAGGCGTGCCGGTCTGCATGGCAAGAGCATGCAAGAGCGGGGAGAGAGCGAGAGAGATCGCACCATGTTTCGCTTCTTGCCTGCCCGTGCCAGCCAAAAGATATCAGGAGCACAGCCTTTTGCCTACTCAGAGGGAAGAGAGGAGCCAGTGGTTGTGTCGCATCGTTTTGCATACCGCTTACCTGCGCGGGCCCCCCAATAGCCAATGGCAATCCAGGACAGATCCTTTTTATCCGAATCCAGAGGCCGGGCGCGAGCTTGCCGATCATGGCAAGGCGCTTTTTGCCTTAGCAATCCTTGGTCCTTACAACTTGAAGGAGGGAGGAAGTTGAGACTGTTCGTGGCTTTGAAGCCAGGGCGATGTCGCTAGCGTAAACGTAGTTCACTTCGCTCAGGCGCCGTTGCCGCTGACGGAGACGGTGAGGTGCAAAGCCAACTTGCCGGAGACGGTTCGGTCGCCAACGGTGCCTGGCTGTCAGGTTAAACACCACGGTGGGCGCCATTGATGTCCTGATCCGCCATGTTTGGACCTCAGTCCTGATGTTGGTGCAGAAGGAACGCAACGGTTGCCCTGGATGCCAGGACTGGGCCCCACACGGCGCTCAAAGTGGCTTGGATGCAGCCCGCACATGTCCGATGATCCCCTCTGCAGGGGCATGTTGCGTCCTTCCGACTGCACGCTAATGCTTTAGCAAAGTTGCGTACGCTCATGCATGCCGTGTGCGCTCTAAGCACTTTGCCACGAGACCAGCACAGTGGTTGCGCTTTTCCTGGCAGAAGCGCCGCCAATCGCTAGTCCCATCCGATCGGGAAGCATGCCAGGCTCACAAATTGTACTTCCCTTCGGCGCGGGGCATGCGCTGAACATCAAAGCACTGAGGGCATCGGTGCAGACGTGCTAGCTTTCGCGCTGCTGATCAGTTCTGATGGTCGTTGATGGGCTGGCGTGTCGAGAACTGTATTGCGTGGAGGTCAGTCGCCAGGCCTCTCGCATCCCCAAGCGGCCGTTCGGTGCGCAGCTTATGCAGGCGAGAACGTGGCAAGGTTTGAGACTAGTTGCAAGAGGCAGCAAGAGAGACAACGGAAAGTGCCAACAAGAAGTGAAAGAGCGCAGCTGCAGTTAAGCAAAGTGAAGCGTCAAGCACGAGTGCGAGCTGACCAATAGATTCGTTTCCGACTTGCAAGCAGTGTTGCGGTCACCCACGCTTGTGCTTTTGAACAAGCGGTGGCCGCACTTTGCCGACCAAGCGTGGGCTTTGTGTGGATCGTGCAAATCAAACTCAAACGGACATGAGCGTTGCGTGTTGATGCATCAACAGCGAAAATGGACATGACCTTCTTTTGATGGCTTCTGCGTGGATGTGACGATGTCTAGAAAGCTGGTGGGACATGCAAGCAGAGAGAGAGACAGAGAGAGAGAGAGAGAGAATCGCAGAAATCTGTTCATGAGTTATCTCTGCCGATGTATTCCCTGTGCACGCAAAAAGCCAAACAGCACGCGCGAACATGCTCTGGGCCCTCGCCTCTTAGTCTCTGTTCGGAAACGGGCAAAAGCCCAGGATTCCTGGAGCTGGCTGCCGGTGGGGACCTGAACAACTTGGCTTTTTATCGGGCCATCCAGGTCGGGCATCGCATGGCTGTCAAGTCGCCTTTTACTTCGGGTGCCGTTGGAAGAGGATGACACATGGATCGTGGTCTTTTGCACAGATAGGGCGATGCCTATGAAAGGCACTTGAGCCATCCTGGCCTGCAGGGGTGCATTGTCCAGTTTGGACTTCCACCGCGGCGGCGGTGGTCTCCCATTCCAGATGATCCGCCGTCAGGCGCGTGCTTCCAGCGCATGTCTGTCAAAGACTGACGGTTCCTGCCCTGAGGCGTGCCATTTCTTCTGGGGGCTGTTAGCTTTGCAGCAGTAGGCGGGTTTGTGTTTTTCATTCGGGCCAGAGCATGCCGCCGTGGAGGTGAGAACTCTAGGAGGTCGACGCTCTTCATTTGCGTGGGCGACATGTCGCACTGCCTGGGCAGCAAATCCTGGGACCGAGCTTGTTGGTGTTTCGGGGAGGGGGTTGATGGCCTCAGGCAAACGTCAAACCGACAAGTCTCGAGGAAGCTGAGCACGAGGAGGTTTGTTTGAATGCTTTTTGCTTGGCTTTAGGAGACTCCAATCGGTGCTGTGGAAGAGCAAAGCTTGGACGTGCTGGAGCGCATTGACACTTCTTATGGCAACTCGGTGGCAATGCGGGCGCCATACCCGGAACCCGGCCCAGACTGCCTGGTTTTGTGCTGAGTTCCTTGAACTGTAACATTCTGAAGCTGGTGCCTGCTGCCGCCCACCTAGCCAAGGTGACATTGTGGAGTTTGGTGGCCAGGGTCCTGTAGTGCACTTAGCCGGTATGGTCAATTGCGCTGTACTCGTCACGTGCACTGTCAGGACACGGGCCGAATCCAAGCAGAGGGGCACCTTGCCCGAAGTTTGTTTTGAGTGAGCCTTTTCTTGCCTGCTCGGGCGAGGAACGCCTATCTTCACAAAAACTTCCCGAACATGACCTACATCACCTCATCGTCAGTTCTCACACAAGGCCCAGGAGTGCCTTCCACGCTTGAAAAATGGGGGCCGCAGCCAGGCCAGTCCCAGGTTGGCGTGCCGGATGTTCCCCAGGCGGAATTTTGATTCGATCGACGTGCTCTTGGTGGGAGTCTGATCGTCAGGCTGGCGCACCACTTGGGCGTGATCTCCAAGCGGAGGTCGCGTGTTTCCGGGGCGAAGAGGTGCAGGGTTATTGTATGTTTCGTGGACGGGCTTGGGTTTGGGATGCGTTGGCTTTTAAAGACTTCCCCATCCGCTGGCACTTTAGTCTTAGTTGGGGCTTGTCGATCCCTCTTTTGGCAACCTTTAGGTTTACCATGGTCCAGGGTCTGGTGGTGAAACCTTTGATTCTTCGGGTCGAGCTCGGCTCAATTGTACTTGACATGCCGCAGGCAGCCAAGTTCTGGCTAAGCCAACTGTAATAGATGTGGTTTAAGAACTTGTTGTACGTGCCTGAACAGAGTGCAAACCATTTCGCCCAAGGCCATTCAGCAAACACATTTGTGTCATTCTTTAGTTGGGCATGTCTGTTTTTGCAGTGCGCCTCCTTGAAATTTGTGCCAGAGGAAGCTGCGAGACATGCGCGGAGAAGCGCCATTGAGGTGCCGGCCTTTCCGTCCGGTGGCGCTGAGCGTAGCTGTGTGCAGGCTGCGACCTGGGCAAAGGAAGCAGCTGCGGCCAACGGCGAGCAGATGAGAGAGGCAGTCAGGCCGAGCCGCGGTTTGAGAAAGCCCTGGCTATGAATTTCAATAGGGAACCCCCTCCAAAGTGGCTGGTGGACATGGACACCCACCTAAATGATGTCCACCAAAGGGTCCCCACTTAAAATTCAGGCCCCTCTGACCCCATCCTGCCGCAGGAGAGCCCGAGAGGCGGCCAACGCGGCGGAGGCTGCCGCGCAGGCCGGGCCAAACTTGGACTTTCTGCGAGACCAGCCAAGTGACTATGAGGCAGCCGAAGCTGCCTGTGCGGCTTCAGAAAAAGTGCCTGGAGCCGCAACAAGGAGACCTGACGAGCGGACGATTTCGGCAAAAGCAGGGGTTGTTGTGCGTGCAAGGCACGGCAATCAAGGAGCCAATTTCTTCCACTGCACGTTGTGTAGGTGGCGCTGAAAGCTTTTCTGCAAGCAATCAGACTGCAACATTGGAACATGTCATGATTGGAACCTAGAGGGGCGGAGACATCAAGCCTTGAGTGGCGGAGGTCTTCTACTTTGCAGGTCCGTTGTGGAAGTGGGCCAAACAGCAAACACAAACCGCTATTTATCTGCTGACAGCCAACCGCGCTGGGCCGCGAAACTGAACTTTTGATCCTTTGGTCTTGGATACGGATCGCTCCATTTTGATGGCAGGGACCAGCTGATGCGCTCACAGGTTGCCGCCAGACACCAAGGCTTCTCAAACGTGGTCTTAAACCAGTTGGACTGCAGCCAGAGGTTTTGGACAGCGCGAGTCCACATTTTCCGCTCGCTCGAAAGACGAGGTGCCAGTGGCGTCGCAAGTGCCAGGCGACGCGCTTACACTACTGGAACTTGCGGCGCTCACCGTGCGAGACGTCGGCCCATGGGAGACAAAAGAAGCAGTTGGCGTTTCTGCGTTTAAAACCACAAGGGGTCCTGGCTGCTATGAGACATGTCCTTTCTCGTGTGCCTGGAGTCTTCGCAGGCCCGGCGAGCGCACCCAGGCCGATGGGTCAGGCGGGAGACTGGGGATGAACCACCATTTGGAGGGATCCCCTACAAGAAGACACGCGTATGTAGAGGCACGGGAGCGGTCCTATCCGGCAAAGCCTCAGACAGGTGCCGCCAGCTCATCCTCCGGTGCATCTCCCGCTGGGCGCAGGTCCGCCTAGTGTAGAGTATCCAGCCGGGAGAAGTAAAGCACGCAAAGTTCCAGTCGTCCCGGCGTAGTCGAGGGGACGTGCTGTTTGCGAGTCTGCGTGTTCAGAGGCCAGCTTGCTGAGCCGCCAGCCGAGGTGGAATTCCAATGCAAGCCCCGCGGCCACACATGGCACAGGCAGGGCCTTGCGGAACTTGCGGCTTTAGCTTGCCTGCTGCCAGGGCTCAGGGCATGTAACTTGGCATCCGAGGCTCCGCCCCAAGGACATGTGATGCCTGGCGCCATGCCGCCCGGGATGCCCGGGATGCCCGGGCTGCCCGGGATGCATCCGATGCAGGGGGCGCCTGTGCACGCGCAGCCTGGCATGCCTGGGATGCGTGGGGTGCCTGGCATGCCCGGGATGCCCGGGATGCCCGGGATGCCCGGAATGCCCGGGATGCCCGTGATGCCCGGGATGCCCGGGGTGCACAGCATGCCTGGCATGGCTGGCATGCCCGGCAGGCCACTAATGGATTTGACTTGAAGTATTTAATGCGACTGGTCTCAGCTGGTAGGAGCGGTTGCGGATCTTTGTGGGATGTGTTGCGAGTGCCAGTTCAATTGAAGCCCTCCTTGGCACCCACGGGAGATCGAGGCAGGGTGACCCACAGACCGCCAAACACATCCCTCAAGACGTGTGATCAGCTGCCTGCTGGTTTGATACTGCATCAGTTGGTTAACGTCGTTAAGTGAAAACAATCGGATCGCGGGCCGAAACAGGATGCTGGAAATGCGTGCCCGCGCCCAGTGCCTACTTGCATTGCAAATGCCTGGTGCAAAATCCGACAGGAGAATGGCTCAAAAGATGGCCACATACATAGCATCCTCAGGTGACCCCATTGCGGAATGGAGTCATTACTTCTGGCATCTTGCTCTCATTGCCTTTTTCACATGGCAAACAACGGCACGAAGCGGCTTCCTGTGCTTCGCATCGGCTCCCGGCGCCATGTCCCCCTTGGACCTGGCCACCGTGCGTGCCAGAGACCGGGACCCATGGCAGAAGCTGGAGATTCCAACCTTCGAGCGCCTGGGCTCAGCTTGCGTCGCGGGGGACCGTCCCCACTTCCGCGATTCATTGACGGGGAAATGACTCGGTTTGATGCGGGCACAGGGAGGCCCAGTGCCAACATCCCATGTTGCAAGCGCGCCCCGACTTTTGCTCCATGGGCCCAGGCATATGATTTCCATGCCGTGCCATGAGCAAGCGCGGCATTCTACATGTGCCGTGCAGGATATGGCGACTTGCCTGTTATGGCCAGATTTTGCGATGCAATGCGCTGAGTTTGCAAGGGTGCCTTTCCACACAAACAGAGGCGGCGCGGTTCTCCCTTCCAGCCTGGGCAAGCCGTATCAACGCAGCATGTTTTGCTTCGGTGATTGATTTTGACGCAGCTTGGCAGCAACCAAGCTTGAGGTCAAGCTTGTGGTGGGTGAAATGTTTTTGGCCCTTCTGAGGACATGTGCTCTGCTGCCCAAGGGGTGGAGGTGCTGACCTTGGAACCCAATGGGAGAACCAGTTTCCAGCAAGTAATTCTGAGGGCTCCGAGGGGGTGGTGGCGGATGAGGAGGACGGGCGCCTGGAGCTTTCGCTCGGATCAGACTGCTTGAAGCCCTGCCGCAGGCGGCGCTGATCTGCCTGGCCGGTGCGTTGGACTTCGGCTCCGGATGGCGCGATGAGCTGCGGTGCTTCCATGGCAAGAGCGCGTGGCAGACAGCACCTCGCCAGGTTGAGAGCCGCGTTTGCTTGGTGGCTTCAAGGCTTTGGGGCTGTGTGCCATGGACCCAGGTCAAGCAAGGCATCGAGAACCTGTCACTGATGTGCCCCGAACTGCGAGCAGTGGCTGGCATCGCAAGTAATTCATGCCAACATGCATGGGAAGCTGGTTTGGTGGTGCTGGCTGTGAAAGGATTGGCTTTCCAACCTCGCCGCCTCAGACGTGGCGAAAGTGTTTGGCCTTGAGCATGCAGAAGGCTTGGATGAGTTGCTGGGCTGCAAAAGGGGAGGCTTGGGGCGAGCAATGTCGACTATCACAAAGGATCACCACAGACATTTCGTGGCAGTTCGCTGCTTGCCATGCATGCGATGCTTGTGCCCGCGCCCCACGTCTCAAGCAGGTTTGTCCAGCTGCTTCTTCGGGCTGCTCGGCTTGATTGGGCATTGACCCACGAACTGGATAGCATGCTGCGCCATGTCCCAGAATCAGAGGCCAGCGAGTTTGGCGCCCTTTTGTGGTGGGCGTCATAAGGAAGCCACCCGATAGGGTTGTGCGTCCTATTGGCAAGAAATCCACCTGCCCGGTGCCCCGAGCATCCGAAACAACTCAGCAGCGAGGTGCTGAACGAGCTGGGCGACTCTTTGATGAGAAGAAGCTGCAGGCCGCTGAGCAGACGTTGCGGCGGTGCGAGTCGTGTGAGTCGTTTGTGCTTTCCCTCGGGTGTGTCCCTTTCTTTGGGAGATCCCCTTTTGGTTGTGGCAACGGAACGCGCAAGCCTGGTAGTTCACCTGGACGCTTGCAGTACCCACAGGAAGCCTGGAAGAGCACGTGTCCATTCGTCAGAGGTCATGCGAGGTTGTGAGATGCAGCGCAGACCAAGTTCGCAGTAGATGGCGAGTGTGATGAGGCTGAAGCTGACCCTTGGTAAATAGATTTCCCTACAATACCGACTCAGCTGCAGCAGCAGCAGCAGCGGCGGCGGCAGCGGCAGCGGCAGCAGCAGCGGCAGCAGCAGCGGCGGCAGCAGCGGTACATGCCCAATTGTCTAAGTAGTGTCCCCCCACAAAGCACCCTTCCGAACTGTATCCGACCATATCCGACCACTTTTCCTGTAGAATGTGAGGGAGGGCCATCACGTTTCCCAACTTGGGGTGGGAATGCTCCTGGGGAGAGGAGCCTGTCGGAGTTCATGATCACTCTGCTGGAAGAAGTCCGGGGAGATGCACAAGCAGCTGCCAAGATGGTGCGGGCGTTGGCAGACACGTTTCCGAGACTTGGCGGAGTTTGGCATTTTCTCGCGGCGAGAAGTTTTGCAATTGAGTGGCAGAGTGTCCAGATCGTGGACAAAACGCAAAGACACACATCAAGGGGGTTAAATGGGCAAGTGCACAGCTAAGTTACAAGCACACAGAGCCATTCTTGCATGCATGCTTTGCCTTGGCATGCCAAGGACTGCCTTCAAGGCCGGGCTGTGTTAATGCCCCTTCCTTACAGGGACTTGTCGGCAGTGCCCGCTTGCTTCGCTTGAGTGGCATCAACTATTGGTGCATTTGGGAATCTTGATTGGTCTTGAATAGTCTGAGGCAAGATGCAACCCGGACTTGAAACATCGTGACATGCTCGGTCCAACGCCACTGTGGCCCTGTCCAATTGAAGAGCTTTGCGTGCAAGCACATCCTTGAGACAGCACAGCACAGCGCAGTCACTGTTGGCACAGAGCAAGCCGCCTTAGAGTGAGCTCAATGAGCATCCCACAGAATTATGGTGGTCGCAGTGGTAGGGGAGCAATCAATTCTCTCTGAAGTGTGCCTGCAAAGCGAGATGGTCCAGCCCAAAAGCGGGACCCCCCAGTTCACACATTATGATAGTGTTGGTGCCAAGGCGTACTTCGTGCGTGCACTTGTACAGAAAGGCGCACTTGTGCTGAAAGTTTGCGACTTTCGAGTTGTGCTGCCAAAGTGTACTTCTTGTACTACACTTGTACTTGAAAGTTGCGACTTTCCGGCCAAAGTGTGCTTTGCGTACTGCACTTGCACTATTTTCAAGAGTGGAGCTGCCAAAGTGAGTTCACGCGTGGCAAGCTGCCAACCTGCACTTTGCCTGCTACACTTGCACTCCCAAGTTCACTGCGCTTGTTCTCAGAAGTTGCGACTTTCGCCTTGGAAGTGGTGGCTAGCAATCAAGGCCATGCCCAAAAGCGAGGCCCCGCACTACTGACTGTGAGCGAGACAGGCAATTTTGCCACGTGACGCACGCGTGCCGTTGATGATGAAGGAAACATGACACAGCGCCTTGCGCCAGGACCAGTCCTTCATCAAGCACCTGCCAATCTACTTCTACAAAAAGGCGCAGGATGTGGTGTACGAGCTGTACGCGCCTTGGTTTCGAACTCATGAGCCTCGTGGCTGACAGATTTGCAAGTTCTCGCAGAACTGAGCATGAGGAGCGGTTCCATCTTCAAGACAGCCGCTTTGACTTCCCTGACGTTGACTCACTGACGGGCAGTGTCGACCCAATCATCATCAGCATTCTGAGAAAAGAGCAGGTTGTGATGACCACTCGCGCCGCTGGCCCGCAAAAAGCTCCCATGATCATGCGAGTGGCGACAAGGGCTTGGAGGATCGTGGCCTTCCCACACCTTGCTGGCTTCTATGTTTACCGGGGAAGAGGGATTTTACGAGATGCTGCGTTGGCCTCCTTTCTTGTCAATCAAGGACTTGGCCATGGCAATCGAAGGTGAAGTTGCCCTTCCGAGCGGTGAGTTGGCTGAAGTCTCCCTGCGCGCTGCTGCCGTGGCTGCTCTTGAGGATATCACACTGCCACCCGGCACTCTCTCGCAGATTGCTGGTTCGATGGTTGCAACATGCCTGCCTTTGTTATGTACGCACTCACACCCATGTCCACTGACAGTGTAAGGCTTGCGCGTCTAAAGGGCTACCCAGTTTCTCCGGTGATGCTGGGGCACTACCTGTGGGGCTGCTTGGGCAAGTCCGATGGCTATATGTCATCTCGGCGGCACATCACCAGAGACACAACATTTTACTGAACTGGGGCCGCGCGGCCCGCCGAAGAACACGGACCCTTCGTCCGTGAGGACTCTGTGTGTTGAAGCGGCTCAAAGCTCGCAACCAGCACGCTATTTTCACCTCGCAGGAACCACGGGACAAGACGTCCTGTGATAAGAACACGTGACGGGTGTGCTGGGCCAACAGCAGTTGTCCTGCGCTTTGGGCTTCCCACCTTTGCCGGATCAGGTGCTGCCAGCGCACGCAAAAGGATCACCGATGAGCACGTGGAGTAGCGTGTGCAATCATTGGCTGAAGCATGGAGTCCTGAGAGCATGTGGTCGTGAGAAATGAAGTGAAGCCAGATGAAGTGATGCCATGATAGCCATGAGAGCCATGAGAGCCATGAGAGAGCCATGAGAGAGCCATGAGAGAGCCATGAGAGAGCCATGAGAGAGCCATGAGAGAGCCATGAGAGAGCTATGAGGGAGCCATGAGAGAGCCATGAGAGAGCCATCGGAGAGCCATGAGAGAGCCATGAGAGAGCCATGAGAGGTGCCATGAGAGGTGTCACGAGAGATGCCATGAGAGGCATGAAAGCCATGAGAGCCATGAGAGCCATGAAAGCCATGAGAGCCATGAGAGCCATGAGAGCCATGAGAGCCATGAGAGCCATGAGAGCCATGAGAGCCATGAGAGCCATGAAAGCCATGAAAGCCAAGAGAGCCAAGAGAGCCATGAGAGCCATGAGAGAGCCATGAGAGAGCCATGAGAGAGCCATGAGAGAGCCATGAGAGAGCCATGAGAGAGCCATGAGAGCCATGAGGGCCATGAGAGCCATGAGAGCCATGAGAGCCATGAGAGCCATGAGAGCCATGAGAGCCATGAAAGCCATGAGAGCCATGAGAGCCATGAAAGCCATGAAGAGCCATGAGAGCCATGAAAGCCATGAGAACCATGCAAGCCATGAGAGCCATGAAAGCCATGAAAGCCATGAGAGCCATGAGAGCCATGAAAGCCATGAGAGCCATGAGAACCATGCAAGCCATGAGAGCCATGAAAGCCATGAAAGCCATGAGAGCCAGGAGAGCCATGAAAGCCATGAGAGCCATGAGAGCCATGAGATGAGAGCCATGAGAGCCATGAAAACCATGAGAGCCATGAGAGCGAGCCATGAAAGCCATGAGAGCCATGAGAGCCATGAGAGCCATGAAAGCCATGAGAGCCATGAGAGCCATGAGAGCTATGAAAGCCATGAAAGCCATGAGAGCCATGAGAGCCAGGAGAGCCATGAAAGCCATGAAAGCCATGAGAGCCATGAGAGCCATGAGAGCCATGAGAGCCATGAGAGCCATGAGAGCCATGAGAGCCATGAGAGCCATGAAAGCCATGAAAGCCATGAGAGCCATGAGAGCCATGAGAGCCATGAGAGAGCCATGAGAGAGCCATGAGAGAGCCATGAGAGAGCCATGAGAGAGCCATGAGGGAGCCATGAGAGAGCCATGAGAGCCATGAGAGCCATGAGAGCCATGAGAGCCATGAGAGCCATGAGAGCCATGAGAGCCATGAAAGCCATGAGAGCCATGAGAGCCATGAGAGCCATGAAAGCCATGAGGGCCATGAGAGCCATGAGAGCCATGAGAGCCATGAGAGCCATGAAAGCCATGAGAGCCATGAGAGCCATGAGAGCTATGAAAGCCATGAAAGCCATGAGAGCCATGCGAGCCATGAGAGCCATGAGAGCCATGCGAGCCATGAGAGCCATGCGAGCCATGAGAGCCATGAGAGCCATGCGAGCCATGAGAGCCATGAGAGCCATGAGAGCCATGAGAGCCATGAAAGCCATGAAAGCCATGAAAGCCATGAGTCATGAGGTGAGTGAAGTCACATGAATTCGCAGAGTTGTGGTTCAGACGGCATCCCGGCCCGCCGGGTGGAAGAAGCGCCTGGAGGGCCGGGAGCTTGGAGCACGGGGGCTGACATGGGCGTGCCTCTGGGGAACCTTGCAGGTTAGGAATCCATTTTGAAGGGAACCCCAAAGGAAACCGACCAATTTGAGCGTCTCCTTTTCAGAAACGAACTCGAGGGCCTGAAAGCTTCTTTCTCGGGGCTTGTCAGTGTCACTGGAGAGGGTATTTGCAGTGCGCTTCACTTTCTTTCAATGTATGCCACATGGTGAGGTTCGAGTTGAAACGTGCTCTCCGTCTCTTTCTCTTTCTCAGCTTTCTCTTTCTCAGCTTTCTCTTTTTTTGCCTCTTTCTCCTTCTCTGTCTCTTTCTCCTTCTCTGTCTCTTTCTCGTTCTCTTCCTCTCTTTGAATGCCACTTTTTGACACGCTGGAAGCCATTCTGGTCACAAAGGAGCAAATCTTCTTGAGCTGTTTGCTCTTGCTAACTGCTTGTACTTCCAGGCAGAATCCCGGAATCCTGCCAACTGGGCTTTCAGTGAATCCTGCAGGCGCCATGGCCACAATTCCTGGCCGTGAGCCCTCAGGGGAGCTCGAGAGCCTAATCGAAGCTTGGCCGACTGGAAGGAGCCCTCAACAGAGCAACTTGGAAACGGCGCCACGTGCCACTCCCTTTCCTCCGATGAGTCAGGATCGCACTCCGATGCAAAGCGCGTGATTTGGGGAAAATCATGACAGCCCGGAGTAGGATTGAATATGCTGGGTGTTGCAGCAAGTCAGGCATGTTCGGTGGCTGATGTTGCTTCAGTGGTTTGAAGTTTTCTTCAAACAGCGCAAGAAATGCCGGCATCTAAGGACGAGATCCGAATGGACAAGGCGCCTTGTGCATTGAACGTTGGCACCAGATGTTTTGAACACCAGCTCGCAGTGATTTTTCCACTGGTCATTGAGCCATTTAAAAAAATCGGGGCATGGATTGAAGGTTGGAGATCAGTCAGCAGACATATTTCCGGCCATCCGCCCTACCCGCTCAGACTTGGCCATGGGTCAAAATCCAAATCGCACCTCCAGTGAACATCCCAATCCCCACTAAAATAGGAAGCCTAGAATGGGTGGCGCACCGACCAACCCCCAAATGGGATCCCAAAACGGTTTTGACCACCGTCGCTTGATAGGAGTTTGGCCGCGCCTCTCAGGGCGCCTCGCTGCCAGTGGACCAGAAGCACAGCGTGGGCGTCCCGCAGCTGCTCCACCAGGCTCCGGGAGAAGCGTTTCTCTGGCCAAGAGGGAAGCAGCGGACGGGGTCACGTCATGTCTGGGGTAGACCCCCCTCACCCTCCTCAATTGAAAAGAGTAGGCAGGTTTGCCTCAGAGGGTTCGGGCTTTCTCTGACGAGGGGCCGAGGGTCTGCTGCCCGTCTCGCTTGCCACATTCGCAGGTGGAAACTTTGCAGAAGGTCGTGGCTGCCACGTGTGACTCCATGACGAGACTCGCCTGAAGCACCTGGCTTTGCTCAGGTTCCTCTTTTTTTTTGGGCATTGCAGCGCGACTGCGGCCTGAGGAGACTCATTTCCAAGCAAGCGGAAGCATCAAAGGAGCGAGAGAGGGCCGCTTGCCAGCAAAGTAGCAACTGGGTCCAGCACTTGAGCAGTGAGCGTGTTTTTTAGTATATCCACACAGGGAACCGCGTGATATCAAACGACACTCGCTTTTGGGCCTCTTTGGGCCTGTTTTTGAGGGTACCCGCTTTTGGTTGGGATGCCAAAAGGATAACCACATCTTTTTTAGGGGACCCCTGGGAGAGAGGCACACCCAATCTACTCTTCTGTAGCTTTCCCAGCGCCCAAGGAAACCTCCTGCCTGCACCGCGAGAACAAGCTTCTCAAGTGCCGACTTGCAGATCTGGAAGGCGAGGTTTTGGCTTCGACCTAATTCAAGATGACAAGGAAGGGATCTGCTCATAGATTCTCCGCGTACATACATGCATACGCCCATACATGCATACATTCATACATCCATACACCAATACATCCATGTATCTATGCATCCATACATCCATACATCCATGCATACGTGCATGCACCGATACATCCATACGTCACTATATTCATACGTCCAGAAGTTTGCATATGCATCCATGCTTACATGCATACTTACATATACACCGATGCATGCATACATACGTACGTACATACATACACAGATGCACAAACGGGCTTAAAACCCGGACAACCCCCCGGACAAACCCCCGGACAACCCTCCGGACAACCCTCCGGACAGCTTTGAGGGCACAAAATCGGCGGGACAACTCCCCGGACAAACCCCGGACAACCCTCCGGACAGCATTGAGGGCCCAAAAGCCCGGCACAAACCCCCGGACAAACCCCCGTTTGGACAGCTTTGAGGGCCCAAAAACCGGGACAAGCCCCCGGACAAGTCTTCGGACAGGTTTAGAACACGCCAAAACCACTCGGAAACCCCTCGGAAACCACTCGGAAACAGCTGGAAAACCACTCGGAAACTGCTCGGCAACCACTCGGAAACCACTCGGAACCCGCTCAAAACCACTCGGAAACCACTCGGAGGGAAGTATCTCGCTGGAGGGGGATTTGCAGCATAAATCTCGGCAAAGTGCCCGGACAACCCTCCGGACAACCCTCCGGACAACCCCCAGGAAAACTTGGTTGACAGTTGTTTGTCCAGCAGTTTGTCCCGCACTTTGTCCGGCATTTTGTCCCGCACTTTGTCCCGCGCTCTGTCCCGCATGTCGAGGGGGGTGTTTATGCAGAAGGGCATTCGTCAACACACACACACACGCACCTACATGCATACATACATACCTTGCATGCGCGCACACAGACGTACAGACCGACAGACAGGCAGGCAGGCAGGCAGGCAGGCAGACAGACAGACAGACAGACATACAGAAAACAGGCAGACAGACAGACAGACAGACAGACACACAGACAGACAGACAGACAGACAGACAGACAGACAGACAGACAGACAGACAGACAGACAGACAGACAGACAGACAGACAGACAGACAGACAGACAGACAGACAGACAGACAGACAGACAGACAGAGACAGGACACGCAGGCAGGCAGGCAGACAGACAGACAGAGACAGACAGACAGACAGACAGAGACAGACAGACAGACAGACAGACAGACAGAGAGAGAGAGAGAGAGACAGACAGACACAGACAGACAGAGACACAGACACACAGACACGCAGACGCACAGACACACAGACGCGCAGCACATATATGCATATACACGCACGCAGACACACAGTCATACACACATACACACATATATGCATACACACAGACACACAGGCACACAGACACACAGACGCGCAGACACACAGACACACAGACACACAGACACACACAGCCACACAGACACACAGACACACAGACACGCAGACACGCAGAAACACAGACACGCAGACACGCAGACACGCAGACACGCAGACACACAGACACACAGACACACAGACGCCAGACACACAGACATGCAGACACGCAGACACCCAGACACACAGTCATACACGCATACACACATACACACATATATGCATATACACGCACACAGACACACAATCATACACGCATACACAAATACACATATATGCACACACACAGACGCACAGACACACAGACACGCAGACACCCAGGCACACAGACACACAGAGACACAGACACACAGACACACAGACACCCAGACACACAGACACACAGACACGCAGACGCACAGACACACAGACACACAGACACGCAGACACGCAGACACGCAGACACGCAAACACGCAGACACGCAGACACACACAGACACACAGACACACAGCCACACAGACACACAGACACACAGACACACAGACACGCAGACCCGCAGACACGCAGACACGCAGACACACACAGACACGCAGACACACAGACACACAGACACACAGACACCAGGCACACAGACATGCAGACCCGCAGGCACGCAGACACGCAGACACGCAAACACACACACACACAGACACAGATATGTAGACATTTTGTTTCTATGTACATACGCAGTGTCCGTTCCCGAACACTGGCTGCACGGTTTTAGATTGCATGCCAGGTAAAAACAATCTTCCCGGAGCAATGGGCGAGGGTGATGCAGACCGAGCTGCAGGCTTGGCATTTGCTGCCTGGCGATGGCAACCGTTCGCGGAGATGTCTCATCATAACCTTTTGGAGCAAAATCCGAGCATGGATTTTTTCCTCAACTGCTCTGACAAGTGGGCGGGTCCCAACAAGACTGTCAACCCTATGGCTGCGGATGCATCATCTTTGTTGTTTTTTGCTTTCCCAGATTGAGCATGCATGGGCAGCCTGTTTTTTTTTGGCTGTACTTGTCTGCAAAATCTTGCTCCACGGTCGTTGGCGTTTGCAGGCAATCTCTGGACGAGCCAAAGTTTCTCATGTTGACTGCGAATTGAATGCAGCTGTCAGCCGTTTTCCACCGAGTGCTCTTGCCAGGCGCTGGCACTGAGCCTCAAATGGGCGTGAACCAGGAGAGCCAGAGACAGGGCGTCAGCACTTTGAGCGTTTGCCATGGCTACGCGCGCAGGCATGGGCGGAGGTACCTGGTCAACCGGATCCAGGGGCAGCTGGCTGAGATGCAGGTGCAAGGACCGTGTGAGCACAGAGCTGGACTCAGGTTAGCTCGGCAGGCCTGACGGGCATTGTTTGCGACTCAGTCGCGGCCGCCCGCCGCTTGCAGCTAGCCACTTGGCACAATGCGTGGGTGATCCGCTTGAGGTGCCGGCTCCATCTCCTTCGGTTATGTCCGCATCAAGACAGCAACAGCTTGGTCAGAAAGAGGAGGACCTTGATGCCAAGTTCGCAGCTGCTGCGGCCCGGGAGGCCCGGAGCCAAACACCACACCGCCCCGCCATGCCGCCACCCTCAGGCAGCTGTCTTTGTCGACGCTGACGCGCTGAAACGACAGCTCAAGCAAAACCTCAGAAGCTGGGCAGCAGAAACACTTTGAGAGAAAGGAGACATGACGAGTGCTCTGCTTGGTCTGTTGGGTCATTGCAGATGTGACCGACTGAATGCCTCTCTGCCTCAAGGCAAAGAGACGTACGACGTTTCGATGTTCTACTGGGAGACAGGGAGATGTCAAAGGACGTCGGCAAGTTATATCACTGGATGCAATGTTTCTCATGCTTCAAGCTCCCAAAGAGGAATTGACGCAATATGGTCTGTAGCCTTCCTTTCGTCACTTTGTTTCTCCCGGTTGGTACGGGTAACTTGCTAGTTAAGGTTTGGCGGTCCGTTCTGTATTGATTCCTTTCCATTTAAGTTCACACGATGGCAGAGCAAGGGTTCCACCAACTAGGCGTTGGCTTCTCAGCACGTCGCAGGATGGCCAGGTCTTCCTGCTTTGAGAACGTCACGCTTTTCATGATAGCAATAAACTCGATCTGGATTTGGATCGACACCGCCCCTTGTCAAGCATTCAACTGATTCACACTATGGCTTACGTCTTGGCGGAAGACCATCCGGTTTGTGTCTGTGTGCGTGCTTTGAGGGGGGGCTTTTCAGGTTAGTGCAAAAAGGGACCAAAAGAAAGACCACCTCCTTAGTCGGTCCAACAAATACCTTCTTTTAAAACCCAAATCCGAAGTCGAGTCCGAGGACCTGAACTCCGCCTCTACCTTGCTAGACGCCGATGCCGTGTTCATCATTGTGGAGAACTCCTTCTGTGTCTACTTTGTCTTTGAGCTGGCGGTCCGCTTCGGCGCATTCAAGGTCAAGAGGAACTGCTTCAGAGATGCATGGTTTATGTTCGACTCCGTTTTGGTGGCTCTGATGGCGCCCTGGAGGGCACGCTAGCAAGCTGTCTCTTCGCTTTGAGGTGAAATTGGTGTTTCTCAAACATGCTGGCTTGGCGTGCTCTTTTGCTGGGAGTGCCTTCTTCCCCAGGTTTTCGAGACTTGGATTCTCACGATTGCAGTCGCCGCTTGCCCCGCAATGTTGGCGTGTGCAGCCGGAAGCGGTGGACAAAACCAACAGCCAACAAGGCTTCCCCAGGACGGGACAGAGGCCTTCCCTGACAGGACGATGGCCTTCCAAGATTCCAAGGGCTTTGTTTTTGGGCATTCCAAGTTACAGCGCGCTCGACGGAAAGGGCCACGCGTGAGCTAAGGCAGCCATGGGCTCCGGCGCCATGAGCAGCCCAAGCTTCCTCAGAGTGCTGCGCCTTTTTCGGCTGACACGAATGGCCCGCATGGCGCGGCTGCTGCGGGCATGCCCAGAGCTTTTTGTGACTCGGATCAGGCACAGGGCGCAGGGCAAGCGCAGGGCTTCCGCTTTCATGTTTGGCTTCAAGACTCTTACGGCAAGTTGTTGGCCCCGTTTCGTTGCATTTGAGCTCGATGTGTGCCTCCGAGGTGATGCTGAAAGCAATAGGAGTCGCATTTCGATCAGTGATGTTCGCGCTGCTGCTGCTTTTGGGTGTGGTCTACGTGTTCGCAATTGTGGCTTTGCACGCACCGGTGGGGTTCTTTGGGGGAGGTTATTTTCATTGGAAGGTGTGCCCCAGGGGCAGTTTGCAACCGGAAGCGGAAGCAGCTGCGAAGGGGTGAGCATTGGATACCTTTGGGCTGTGGAAAGTGTCCAACCCTTAGAGCTACAGCTCAAACGCCCAATGCCTGCTCAGTTCTTCACCCAGCTCCTGGATGGCAAAGCAAAGCAATCGGGCGACATCGCCTACGACAATTTCAGAACGGTGGCCGCCCTTTGGCGGCGAACTACTTCGTTTGCCGTCTCTTGATTCACACCCCGGCTGTTTGGCATGGCAGTATGGCCGGCCTGTTCTCGCGATAGCCAGACACCTGCACCTGTGAGACAGGTCTCAATGAACACTTTGCTCCTGAACGGGGCGTTGCCAGATCAAGCAGGCAGGATGTTGAACTTAGGTTCGTAGCATTGTGTATGGGGGTGGGGGGGGGAATTGGGTTGCAGTGGCGCTCCTTGCCGCCGGCGCCCCTGCAGATTTGATCAATGGGCTTCTGGCCGAGCACTGGTTCTATTATGGTCTCATTCTGCCACTTGGGTCAAGAGTGGAGATGCTGCCACAGCATCCTTTGGTGCATGTTGCCTCTGACGCTGCCCATGCATGTCTGCCCATGTGCCGTCAAGGATTTATCTTTTGCTAGCGTCCTTGACGGACGCTTCTCCGCATTTACGCATCAAACACTCCATCGATCGACTGCCCTACAGTTAGTTGATTGCTGTGCGTCCTTGAACGGGCACCACGGGGTCTTGATGTTGCATCAGGTCATGAACATGCTGATCGGTATTCTTTGTGAAGTCATTAGCGTCGTGTCTCATGTGAAGCCCTCAGCGCCCAGCCTGTCAGCAGCCTGCCACATGGCTCTTTGGCATGGTATGCATGTTCATGTTTATTTTGAGTACGGCCATGCTTGCTTCATTAGGTGGAGAGTGAGGAGATGAAGACGCTTGGCACTGCTGGCTTGCTAGGTTCAAGTCGCAACTGCAGATGCCGTCAGATTCCATGCTGAATGCGCCCAAGGCTGACTGCTGTGAAGTACTCGTTGCAAAGAATCTTGGAGGAAACGGAAGCAGCCACTCAGTTGCCAATAGAATGGCCAGGGATGTCTGTGTCTTGTGGCCATCAAACTTTCCAGCTGGCTTACCTAAAGTTGCGAAAGGCTGGGCGCAAATGGTCACAGCAGTACTAATACAAGCACGCTGCCATTTCAGTGGTTCTCTTCTTCGGGCTGCAGTTAGTTGGGTGTGGGGCAGAAAGACGCGGCGGGGAAAGCGGGCCTGCGCCGTAGCTGAGGATTCAGATGGCGACAAAAAGCTGAGCCCCTTGGACCCATTAACCAAAGAAGCATTCGCGGCGCAGCATTGGATGTCCGCCACCCATGATGTGTCAGAAGCTGGGTCTTTTTTTGGGCTTCCTTTGGTACTGTGGCGAATCTTGTTCTCTTTTCTTGTTGGGGGGGAGGGTTGTGTTGTTTGATTCTTTCTTTCTTTGATTCTTTGCTTCTTCTATTTCTTTCTTCCTTGCTTCCCTGCCTTATTTCTTCCTTTCTCTCTGTATTTCTGTCTTGCCTTTGTTGTTTCTTTCTCGTTCTCTCTTTCTCTCTTCCTCTCTTTTTTTTCTTTCTCTCTTTCTCTCTTTCTCTCTTTCTCTCTTTCTCTCTTTCTCTCTTTCTCTCTTTCTCTCTTTCTCTCTTTCTCTCTTTCTCTCTTTCTCTCTTTCTCTCTTTCTCTCTTTCTCTCTTTCTCTCTTTCTCTCTTTCTCTCTTTCGCTCTTTCGGTCTTTCTGTCTTTATTTATTTCTCTCTTTCTCTCTTTCTCTCTTTCTCTCTTTCTCTCTTTCTCTCTTTCTCTCTTTCTCTCTTTCGCTCTTTCTCTCTTTCTCTCTTTCTCTCTTTCTCTCTTTCTCTCTTTCTCTCTTTCTCTCTTTCTCTCTTTCTCTCTTTCTCTCTTTCTCTTTCTCTCTTTCTCTCTTTCTCTCTTTCTCTTTTCTCTCTTTCTCTCTTTCTCTCTTTCTCTCTTTCTCTCTTTCTCTCTTTCTCTCTTTCTCTCTTTCGCTCTTTCGGTCTTTCTGTCTTTATTTATTTCTCTCTTTCTCTCTTTCTCTCTTTCTCTCTTTCTCTCTTTCTCTCTTTCTCTCTTTCTCTCTTTCTCTCTTTCTGTCTTTCTGTCTTTCTGTCTTTATTTCTTTCTCTCTTTCTCTTGTTCTTTCGTTCTCTTTTTCTTTCTTTCTTTCTTTCTTTCTTTCTTTGTTTCTTTCATTATTTCTTTCATTCTTTCTTTCTTTCTTTCTTTCTTTCTTTCTTTCTTTCTTTCTCTCTTCATCTCTTTCCCTCCTTCACTCTTTCTCTCTTCTTCTCTTTGTCTTTTCTCTCTTCTTGTCCTTGTTGTCGTTGTCGTGGTCGTTGTGGTCGCCACCGCTGTTGTTGTCGTTGTCGTTGTCGTTGTGGTTGTTGTTGTCGTTGTCGTTGTTGTTGTTGTTGTTGTCGTGGTCGTTGTCGTCGCCACCGCTGTCGTTGTCGTTGTCGTTGTGGTTGTTGTTGTTGTTGTTGTTGCTGCTGCTGGTGCTGCTGCTGCTGTTGTTGTTGTTGTTGTTGTTGTTGTTGTTGTTGTTGTTGTTGTTGTTGTTGTTGTTGTTGTTGTTGTTGCTGCTGCTGCTGCTGGTGGTGGTGGTGGTGGTGGTGGTGTTGTTGTTGTTGTTGTTGTTGTTGTTGTTGTTGTTGTTGTTGTTGTTGTTGTTGTTGTTGTTGTTGTTGTTGTTGTTGTTCTTATTGTTGTTGTTGTTGTTGTTGTTGTTGTTGTT